AGAATTAATTTGCTATGCATATGTGTCATAATACAAATTTGTACAATGTAACTTGTATAGAAGGAAAATGTTGGGTATGAACTGGAAAATGTGAAATACAAGAATAGGCTATGAAATCCTCTTGATCTGAGCATGCTCGTTTTACCAACTGTCAATAGTGAGCTCTGTATAGGTGGTTGAGTGGTTAAAGCTTTAGCATTCTGAACATGAGACACAGGTTTCAAATCTCACCAGGGAATGATTATTTAAGAAGTTGACTTCTTGATAATCTCATTTTAGACAGATGATTCCAGCATGCAGCACCACTGGCAAATGAATGAAAAAACATGCCAGGGATTGACTCAACCTTTGTGAATGAAATTGGGTAGATGAAACTGTTCAGAAGTCATTGATGGCTATGATAATGAGCAGATAAAAGTGCTTCAGCATTAGTTGGCTGTCTATCTAGAGATGATGACTCAATAAAAATTCCCATCCCCCAGCAGCCTGCACAAATCATGGGGATGATCTCCACCCCCTGCCAAAAAAAAACAAAAACAAACAATGACTGAAATTCTTAAGTTGTTTGAGTTGCATAATCTGCCACAGGTAGAAATAACATTTTCTTTTCTGTTTTCAACTTGCAAATATAAGTTTATTTATATAAGATTCAGTTGGTATATTTGTAGCAAAAGAGTCAATCTGTAAAAATTGACAAAAAAATGTCATTAAAGAATGTTTCTTTTGAGAAGATAATTAACATGAACAGCATGTACCTATTGTAAGTGAAGTAAAATAAATTTTCATATATAACATAACTGAAAAGATATGCAGACGTTAACATGTATATATATATATATATATATATATATATATATATATATATATATATATATATATATATATAAAGCTATGGGTAACTAGCAGGACAAACTGGGTTCTATAGCCTTGGGTGGTAATTGGTCCAGGAGAAGAACAACTCTGAATTCAAAACCTGTGGCAGATCATTTAGGGATCTTGTGTCATACTGTGAACGAGTTCTCTGTATTCGGTTCTTTCAAAAAGTGTGGTTGGTTCTGCACAAACCTTCACCACTATAGTCAAATAATGCTATGTGTGGAGAGTCTGGCTGTTGGTTCTAAGAACTGAGCTGCTTGACCCTCATATGTCGAAAACAGTGGGAGAGTCTAGTTTATCTATCTATCTATCTTTTCATAGAAAGGTAAGGTTATTTCTTTATTTCATTTCCTACTATGAGAACCAGATTACAGTCAATTTTCTGTTTATCTTATTTAATATCTATTCTCGTGATGTAACAGTCTGGCTTCCCATTTGGCTTTATACTATATTATGTTAAGTTTATTAAATATCAATATCCAGTTCATGTAAAATATCATCCTTTATTAAACCTTCTCTCCATTTACATTAATTATTCTTGAATTTAAGGCAAATTTGTTCTGTCCATACATGGAATGTTTAAGACAAATTTCTCTTATTAATAATTTTTAATTTATAATTGAATAGAAAAAAAGTTTGTTTTTTGTTTTTTTTTAATCAGAATCATCCCAAGCAAGACAATAATGTCACTAAAACACAAGGGGTTACAGTGTGCAGAAGAATTAGGAACATTAATGATGAGCAGAAAGAGAAGAGTGTAATCAGGCTGACAGTAGATAGCTTTTCTAGAAATTATGGAACCCTTCAATCAAAAGACAGATATTATTGTCTAATAAATCATTTTCTGCATCATAGATATGTATTTTATTATTAAAATCTTATATCAAGGAAGTGTTAAAATATTATCTTATTATCTTATATCAAGGAAGTATTAAAATCAAGGAAGTGTGCATTTTATTTACATGTTGATTTATTTCCCATCATAGTTTGACTATTCCAAGAGAGGTAACTGCTTTAATAGGTTTCTTAGCAACTGACAGATTATACATAAACTAGTACAACTGAAAAAGTTCAAAATAATTCTTCTTTTTTTTTTTTCGTCTTCTTTGTGTTATGTCCTTTCAAATCGTGGGCGATCATAGCTCTCCACAACTTCCTTTCCTTTGTAGCACTTAGTAAGTTTTTTTTTTTTTTTTTTTTTCATTATCTCTCCCAATCCTGGTTCTGCTATTTACACAAGCTTGTTAGGTAGGTTACTTGATGCTTTCCTCTGTTCCTCCTGCCTTCAGTGTGTCTTGTAAGTGTTAGATTCTCTAAGCCCTCTTTCCTCATTATGTGTCCTAGAAATTTTGGCTGTCTCTTTCTGATTCTAAGTATAAGCATCCTTTTTGTTTCCATTTTCTCAAAACTTCCTAATTACTCACATGTTCAGTTCATGGGATTCTCAGAATTCTTCTGTAGAATCACATTTCTGTTGCTTCAAGTCTCTTCTTCATCTGTGAGGAGATTGTCCAACATTTATTGCCATAGAGGAGGCTTATCTTACATAACATTAAAATAGAATAATTTATGAATGGAATTAGTATAAAAATTTAAATTTTCATATTGATAAAGATTAATTCATCTTAAATTTATTATTTATGCTAGGTTTATAAATTACATTAGTTCACTGTGATATTAAAACTTATGCTTCTTTTAAAATTTTAAATGATTATATTTTCTAAGGATGTCAATTGTTTATTTTATACAATAATCTTAAATTTCACACTTCAAAATTTAAAGTACTAGATTTTGTACTGCATATTCATATACTGAATGCCTGCTTTAGGATTTTATTTTTATTTTTTATTTGTACATCTTTTCATTTTGTACATTTCTTGTTATATTTTTTAGGTAAATACTAAATCTTCAGAATTCGAGTCTCAAACAGATGACCCAGGTTTACAAAAAAATATTAAATACATTGATATCAGGCTATATTTTATTTTAAAGACAAGGGTTTTGCTATCGTGTTTGTGTTCAAAGGGCAATAACTCATCTGTATAATGTGATACAAATTTTTATTTATTTTATTTGTCCCACTGGAAAATTATTGAAATTCAAAGACTTATCCATAGATGTATTGGCTGATTTATATTTGTCTGGTGTATATACTGTTATAATTGGATATGTTAATGATTTTTCTCAAAGTTATAGGCACTCCAAAAATAGTTTTAAGATATTTGTCATTTCAGTAATTTATCATGAATAAGTTTAAAAAGTAGCAACAATGAAAGTGTTAGTCTCTACAAATTTCATTTTAATGAAAATTAGCATCACTTAGCTATTACAGAATTTGCCTATTAAACAAATATACACATACAGAGAAGAGTGGATAGATGAGCAGTGCATAGCCATTGAGAAGGGAATAAAATCAGCGAGAAGTCCTGCAATACTCTCAAATCCCTCATCAAAAACAACCAGCCAAGAGTAGCTGTCAGAGATGACAAAGATGGCAAGTTACTGACAATGGAAGTTCTAAATAGATGAACCAAATACTGCAATAGCTTGTATAATTATGACCTCCATTCAGATACCTCTTTACTGCAAGGTTGACCAGTATCCCACAGAAGGTGATAGTTTGCAAATACTGAAAGAGGAGGAGGTAAAAGCAGCAGTAAGGAGCCTGAAACCTGGCAAGTCACCTGAAGTAAACAATGTACCTTCTGAACTGGTGAAAAATGGAGAAACTATGGCAATGGATCAGGGAACAGAAGAAGTGGCCAAAAGAATGAACCCAGTCACTGATGATACCCCTACCAAAGAATGGTAATCTCAAGCAATGCCAGAATTATAGAACAATAAGCCTGATCAGCCACCCCAACAAGGTCATACTCCATATTATCGTCAACTGTCTGAAATCCAAGACTGAAGAACTACTGTCAGAAGAGTTGGCAGTTTTCAGAGCTAGACAGAGCACAGTGGAACAAATCTTCAACTGTAAGGTCCTCATCGAGAAGCATTGTTGTCCTCATCTTTGTTGTTTTTATCACAATGTTTTGGCTATTGTGCCCTCCAGTCTTCCTCAGGTGTATATCGATCTGGGTAACCTCTAGGAAATTCTGAACTGAATTACCTTTTTATTCTATGGGGTAAAGTGTTCTTGTTCCACTGCTCATGTTGAAGGATATTGCCTAGTTCTTATTTTCTTTTATGTTCAGTTATCGCTTGCCCATTTCCACTGAGTGCAAGTACTACTGAACCAGGGATTGATATACACACCTGAGAAAGGCCGAAAGGCACAATAGCCAAGACATTGTGATAAAAACAACAAAGATGAGGACAGTAGTCTGAATATTAATAGTGTAAATAATGATAACTCCTTATCCCAGAAACTATTTATCATCTAATAGGAACTTTTCTATGGTTTAAAACCAGAGCAATTTTCAAGGAGATAGCATTTAATAAAAACCTTTTTTTTCCTGCTAAGATACAGTGTAGGAACTAGCAGCAATTATTTCATCAGAACATAGTCTGAAAGAAGCTCGATTTGATTATAGTTGCAACATTTCAAAATATAGTACTTCTTAATTCTCTTTTTGCAGACAGTAGGTATATGGAATGTTCTTTAACATGTAGCCTGCCAATACATGGACAGACCATCTCTCACACACATGTAGTGTTATGATATCAGCAGCTGCTGAGCAGAGAAAATGTCCTATAGTTAATGATAAATTACTCCTTTTTATGGAGTTCTTAGCTCTACTTTATCTATGTAAATTAGTAACATCCAGGAAAGATTCTTTGTTTACACACAAATCCTAACCAGTGGACATTTATCTCACAACTCAATTTCTGCAAGAGATGAACATCTGAAATACATTACACATGTGTTTTCTGGCTTCTGTATCATTTGCTTTTGCACTCCCCATGTCAACAATATGTTATTGAAATGTGGGAAATAAAAGTTCTACTCTCCAATTTGGTAGTGTTACACTATATTACTCCTATACAAAGATTTAAAACAGGTGAAAATTAAATTTCTGCTTTATCTCTTTTTTTGCAGATAAAGATATATTTAAGGTTCAGATAAGATTTAAACATCATTCTTTTATATTGTCAAGTATTCTATTTGTCTTTGATAGATCATGGTATATTTGGTGTTCCATTACAAGTACAATTGGAGAATGACCAAAGAAAGTATCCCTTTCTTGAAGTTCCTCTCTTTTTTAAGCTGGTAAGAACACTGTAAAATTTTTGAAATAATGACTGTTCTGAACTCAATTTTTTTTTAAGCAAGAATCTTTTTATTCCATTAAGTCACAGGCAAAAAAAGCCACAGGAAAAAAATATCACAACTTGTTTTTGCGAGTAACATGTTTGGTATGCATGAACCCATTGTAGCAGATTTTTGAACTATGCTTATTACTGTCAATAATTTCTATGCCAGGATGTCTAAAAATTATTTTTCTCTAAATCCAAGTATTGTTGATCCACAACAACACTGAAATCTGAGATTTCTACTATTCACGCTGTCGTCAGGGTTAAGGATAGGATTATAAAAAATGTCTATTAAAGAAAGACTCAGAAACAGGCTAACATTGTCTTGTTTCTTTTTTCCATGACTTTTTTTACTTGTGACTTTTTTACCTGAATTCTTTTATTTGTCTTATTGGATAGCACTGTTGGTTTGTTGAAGAACAATTTTAACAAATTTTTAAATATATATATTGCTTTAATTGTTCAGAAAAGACGTCTTAGATTCTCTTTTCTTTTAAAAATGTAATGTTATTGTTATGACTAATGAAAGCATGATGCTTAATCTATCATTTAATATTACTTTTTATTCATCTCTGTATTTTGTCAATTAATGTTGGCCAGTATCTGAGAGACTGCATTGCTCCTCTTTAGGCTGGAATTTATATATCGTACAGCTATTTTCCACACATACTTTCCAAGTGCAGTTGTACCAATCATTTGGGTCTTCACTCTGTAATCAGGATGTCATCTGTCACATCAACCTTGCACATGGCTTCTTTGAAAGATACTGAGTACAAAGTCTAATCTGGTATGATCTTGGAGTGAGGTCATACTAAAATACACTGTTTTTAATGTACCCCTTTTATCTTTTACAACTAATATTATTTATGATTTATTTTCTAGGGTAGCATAAGATTTTTTGTAAGTTTTTTTTATCATAGATTATGTTTATCTGAACACAATGCTTCATAACATATAATTACGTATGCTAATTTCTTGTTGTTATGCATTAATAAAATGATTAGTATTTTAAGTTAATATTAAAACATTTTTGTTTAGTTAATAGAATTTTTGATGGATTATGGTGTCCATGTGGAAGGAATTCTCAGAGTTCCAGGATCTGCTGGAAGAATTAAGGTAAGTCTTTTGACTTTTTTATTTTTTAAACTTCTGTAGTAGCTTACTAAAATATTTCACCATTTTATATTTATAGAATATAAATTCTTATATTTCTTGTTGATAGGAGAAATCTGGCCCTATAAATTACCAACATTTTTGCATATTAAATGCTAACTCATTTAGTAGTAATTATTATATATAACACTCATTATTTCAGTATTTTGGAAAATAGCTAATTTTCCAAGTAGATGCCATTTTAATTATGTCCTATATAAACATTCCATAATAGATTCCTTTTAGTTATTTACAACCCAAAAAATTATTTTTGTCAAAGTTCTCGATACAGCCTAATACACCTATGTTCAATTTTGTAGTATTTTGCTTAGAGATCACTTGTATATATATAGATAAAAAAAATTAAATTATTAATTTTTGATTCGTATTAGGATGTGATTTTAGACTTGCCAGAGAAATATTTTTTTATTCTTAATCTACATTTAATATTAACAATCAAAAAGATGATGATTTGGGATTTACAGTAAAAAGTAACAGTAATCAAAGTGCAAGAAATACTAATCAAAAATTGATAACAATTAATATTGCTTCTAAGAAATTCAAAATTCTTATAGTTAAATATTGATGCCATTTTCGAAATTTAATGTACTTTTAAATTTTTTGTGTGCTACCTGATGATTAAAACTTATATAATGATTAATAGATAAACATATAGTCAATATATCTACATTTTTTTAATCCAGACTCTTTCCATAGAATGTAAATTACTGAGCAATAATGTGCTTACAAGTATTCATTTTATAAATTCATTTAGAATCTGCGAATGGATCTAGAAGAACAGTTTTACCAAGGAAGGTTTGATTGGAAATCTATGAGTTCTAATGATGCAGCTGCTTTGATGAAGCAATTTTTGAGAGATTTACCCAACCCACTGCTTACTCATGAATACAGAGAATCTTTTGCTCAAGTACAATGTAAGATTCTAATCAATATTCTTTTTTCTATGGCTATTATAGTCATTTTTATTATATTTTTTAAAGTAAAAAGCTATTGAAACAAAGGACATAGAACACTTTTAAATGTGCATCAAATTATTCTTAGACTTATTTTTTACAATAATGTTCACTCTGTACAAAACCCAAGAGCCACTCTAAGTAGAGGGTTAGAGAGTAAGAGATAAGAGTCACAGTTTATGAAGATATATGGAGAAGATTACCATAGATTTGAACAAGTTAAGACTGCAGTGATTGGGAATGCATCCTCTTGGGAGTCAGTTTCACAAAGTAGCTATTTGTGGGAAGAAGCTGTTGGAGTGGAACTTACATCTCATCATTGGAATATAAAAGGGAATGACAGTGGTTCACTACAATATGCATGGCAAGGCATGGCAAGTCTTAACTCTGAAGGTTAGAACTGATGGAACTAAGGAATGTAATATGTCTGAACACTTTCCATAGAAATAGCAATAGAATAGAACTGAGAACTTGGATAAATAAAATTAATATTTGCCATTTTTAAAGAGGCTCTCTTCTCTAAATTGTAAAGAACATTAAACAAAACAAAAAAAAATCTCTTATAATATTTATTATGTATTAAGATGTGCAGATGGTGTAATGGGTTGCATCTCGGAATGAGTAGTTGGAGATCAGAGTTTGAATTCCACTTGTGTTCATTACATCCACATATGTGCAAATATCCCTGAAAAATGTATGAATCCTTCTCTAATCCCTCCAGGCATAAGTTAAAAAGTAGGTTGGACTTGGCTCTTCATCCTTGGTTGGCAACCAGTCAAGAACAAGGTCAACTGAATTAAAAACCATACGTTGCCCTGGTGAAGCACGTATTAAGCAGCTGATGAAAGGATTGTGGAATTTGCAATTACTTTATGATCCTAACTGCAACCTATCTGATGATGCTGAATATAGCATTCCTGTTATTATAGTCCTAATCTAATAAAGCTTCAATAGTCTTTTATTGGGCTTATACTCAGAATTTCCATAAAGTAGATCTTTTCTATATTTTGCTTAATTTTTTTTTTTCAGTCATTTCCAATTTGAGGGACCAACTGAAGGCATTGAATCTCCTTATCATGGCATTGCCAGATGCCCACATAAATTCTCTTGAGGTTTGTATTGAAACCTAAATATTTTTATAAAACTTTTATTTTCGTTATAGAATATTACAAAAACTGGATTATGCAAAATTATATCTTACTTTAAACATTAAGATTTATATATTTTTTTTTAATGAAATTGTTTCCTCAAGTCCTAGTCTATTAACTTTTTATATTCTGCAGTCAAGTAGGGAAAACATTTTAGCTGATTTAAAAGTTATAAAGTTCATTATCTTTAATGTTACTTTTGAACAAAAATATTATTAATCTATAAATTCTGGTTTTTATTTTATGAAATTGTTTCCCCCTCAAATAAATTAAATAAACTGTTCTGGAAAATATTTTGCTTGTTATATATAAATAATCATATTGTGGAATTTTTTTTGTATAAATCTTGTATTCATATTATTTTTTTAAAGCTCTATAAAATTAGCCAGTTGAACTGTGAATAATTGAAAAATATAGTTTTATACTGTTTTTGAAGAAAGATGTAAATGTATAAATGAAATTAATTGAATTTAAAAATGATTAATTAGGAAACCTATAATTTTCAATTATAATATTTATGTCATCTCTATCTTGTGCAAGAATACCAGAAAAATGATCCCTCTGTTTAGTTTGTAGACTCCATATCTGATTAAACCACATACAGCCTATTTCATTAGAGAATAACTTTTGTAGGATCCTTATCCTTTTATCAGTGTAAAAAGAAATTTTGGTCTGTATAAAAATAAATATTTGATATTGTATTACTGTCAGTATATCAGAAAATTATAATCAAATGTTAATGTTTTTTCTAGTTTGAATGGAGTGTTGGGATCAATTAGACATAAATATCATTTGCATATATTCAACTACACAGAGGCACATATTTTAAGAATATTATTATTATTTCATTAATTATTCAGATTAATATCTTTATTTTTGTTTTCAACACAGCACATTAGCCAATATGTTCTGGTAATCTTTGAATCTTGCTTTTTTTGTCATCACTTCATGTAACATTAATTCAAATTTCTCAATAACTGAAACTGATATGAAAATTTTTGCTTCACATTTTTTTTCAGGCACACAGTGTATATTTATATAGTTCCATCTTATAATAGATTTTTAAAGTGTTTTTCAATAAATTTTATGAGGAAGTTTACATTTTATTTTATTTTTTTCTTAAATCACTTCACCCCAAGCAAGTGAGTAATGCCACTAAGACACAAGGGATTACTGAGACAGAAATAAAATGAGGAGACATTAATAAGGAGAAAGAACAATAATAGGATCCAGAAAAACAAAAGATAGCTATTAATGTTTCATTTAAATTTTTGAAGATTGTAGGCGTCAGGGAAGCAAGAGACTGGAGGAGTGTTCCACAGGCAAGAAGTACAAGAAAAGAAACTATTAGAATAGAAATTACAGTTACATCTAGCTATTTCAACAGTAAAATGACGAATCTTAGTTGCTAATCATGTGGTTGAGTTACCAATTAGGAAAGCTCATTAGAACAATTGACATGAAAATATTTATAGAAAAGATAGAGGGAACCATATCATGGCAGTAGGAAAAATGACTGAAGTCAAGGTGCCAGATCAGGACTGATGACATTACAGACCCTTCTTTGGATTTTATCAAATCACAAGATATATAGCAGGAACACCAGACCAGATATGGCAGCAATATTCAATGCCTGGACAAATAATAAATTTATAAACATACAAGATGAATATTGGCAAGAAAAATTGTTTGGCACAACACAGCAGCATACCTAGCAATTGATTCAATATAATCATTCCACTTCATGTCAAGCCCAAGAAGGTGCAAAGTATTGCTCTATTGGAGGTTAATATCAGCCATGCTGATGGAAAGCAAAAATAGTTCTCTATGATGACTAAAAGATGACAGGTTCAATTTGGAGGTGTTAAAATTGTACAAGCCATTTTTTAGCCTAGTTAACAACTGACTGGAAGTCATTTTCAAGAGCATCTACCAGTTATAATTTATTATACCTATTGGACTTACTATTAAGATAGGAGTAAATAGTTGTCATCATCATAAATACCAATTTGGGAACTGATAACATGAGGAAAGTCATTGATGAAGATAAGAAACAATGTATGTCTAAGGCTAGAGCATTGAGAGACCTCCTCCCCACAATTATTGTGAAAAGATCTCAAGAAATGGCCATTCAAACTGACTTTCATTACACAATTTGTTAAGAAAGATTGGATCAAGTTAAATATTCAGCCAGAGACACCATAGTCATTCGGCTTGGGAAGAAGGCCAGCATGCAAAATCTGTCAAACACCTTTGAGATATATAAAACCACAGCCTGAGCTACACCATTTTTATTTAAAGCTTGATACACAAATTAAGTTACAATACATCAGTGGTTAAAGAGAAATGAAAGCCATATTGTTTATCAGGAACAAAGTTGTGGAAAGTGAGATGCTTAACCGATTTGGAGTTGATTATATCCTCTAGTACTTTGCCAAAAATAGGTAAAAGACTAATAGGGTGATAATTCAAGGGATCAGAAGGTTCACCAGAGTTATTAAAGGCAGGAACTACAGGAGAGGATTTTCAACAAGCAGGAAAGCAAGAAATGGTAAGACATCTGTAGTAAAGTTTGGAGAGAACAGGAGTCAGTTCAAAAGCATATTTCCTTAGGACAATTGCAGGGATACCATCAAGTGTGCATGCCTTGTGGAGAGCTAGTTTGGAGATGATAACAGAAACCATGGAGAGAGTTATATGCATATCACTCACTAAAGATTCCATTCCAGGTGGAAAATTCTGAAGAGTCAAGAATCTCTTTGAAATTTAAAAAATAAATATGACAAATAGTAAAGCATTGGGTTTAATGCATTATTCATACTTTTGATTAATTTCATACGACTTTAAAAATTTGCAAATATAAAATCTTTTAGACACTTATTTTTGTCTTCTTTATATGCAACAAGGCTAAAGCATATCATCCTACAATATTAATATAAAACCAACAGAAATTTTATCAGAACAAATGACTTAGTGCATTTATTTACAAAGGCAACTTTGAATCCACTTATTTCATTTTATATTTTCATACAACTTTTGCTTTCTCACATCTTTTAACTTCTATTTATTTTCTTTATAAATTGTTCACTTAAAGAACATTCCATATAAAAAGTTTCTCCTTGAAAAATTAAAATCAATTATTTTATAACATATCATGACTTCACAACATTCAAAACTTAAACCATGTTTAAATTTTAAAAAAAAGGTAAACATTTATCATATTATCATAAATTTATTTTAATTAGGAATAAAATACTGTCAAGTATATGCATTTATGAGGACAGCAAATAAAATAATTATTCTAATTGTTCACCATGAAGATGGGATTCAAATTGAATATGAAACTTATTTGTTTTTTTGCTATTACTACACCAAATGTAAGACATTTTAATCAGGATAATTCAGCAAATGTGTGTGTGCATGTAATATATATTTGATGCAGCCTTGCTCCCAATAAACCTTATATATGATTTCAGCATAGACAATTTCAAACTTCCAGCTTTTTAATGAATACCAAAATGTAGATAAAAGAATTCTGTCTACAACAGAGACACTACATAGGTTCAGTCAAATGTCATTGAACAAAACAGTAACACATGAACTTCAGAAAACTGAAAAATATAATAAAAAATTAACAGACAGGTCTGTCTGTTAATTTTTTATTAAGTGTCCACCCTTGCTACATCTATAAATTTAGGCCTAAAAGAAATAGTAAATTGATAAACTACCAGAGTTTTTAATTCTTTAAAGTGAAAATTGTGAATTCTGATTATTTTAATAGTTTGCATATGTATGTTCTTAATTTGTTATATTTTTACATAATATATTCTGAAATCAGTTGCATATCTAAACAACTTTAAATATAATTTAATAATTTTTTATTTACCAAAATGTAGCAAGAACAAAAAATAGTGAAACTGGTTTTCCTTAAGTTTTTTTTTTTAAAACTTGATTATAATTAAAAATAAAATAAAATGCTATTATTATATAATTGATTAAACTCAAAACAATATGTGAAACAGACTCCCAAGAGAATGCTTCTTGATCTCTACAATCTTAATTTTTTCAAGACTAGGGTTAACCATTATCTACCCTACACATCCTCATTATATGCACTTCTTACTTTCTCCCTTTATGCTCTTACAACATCTCAACCTTGGCTTTGTATTGGATGAACATTAGTATTTAAAAAATTACGCTCACAGATCCATGAATGAAATTCGCCACAGTAATATCAAAACTTAAAAGTGTAATTTCATGATTAGGTATTAAAGTCTGTTTGCAATTTTTTTACCAAAATTTCATTTTAAAAACTTTCAACACTCAATCTATAAGCTGTGCATTGAACTTCACAAAAGTTGTTCAGAAATTAATGCAAGCATTACAGAAGAACTGTTATGTGCATAATACTAAAATAGTGTTGGATACTAGGAGAAATAAACAATCAGAGAGAATAGAAATGAACAATCAAAGAGAATTTTCTTTGTTTCAATTTTAAAGAACAGTAAAAACTGATTTTCTTATTATTATTTTTATCCTTTAAGTTAGAATTACAATAATCATTCCAAATTTCTTCCATTGCAGTTGGGTCATAAAAAAAATGATAGACAGGGTAAAAAAAAATAAAATAATTTGTCCTTGCTTTTTTTTCTTCCAAAATATGTTACCCATGTAACTGAATCCACAACTCATATGCTAAGTCCCAGCTTTCTGGAAAGTCCTGCTCCTGCTGATAAGAGTATCAATTGAAGAAAAAAAAGTTTACTATTCCTTCACACTGTCATTTCTACTCCTAATATTACAAACCTAAAACCTAAATATGAATACTGAAATAAAAATATTCCTTTTACTTATTTTGGATTTCAACAACAAATTTAAATTGATGATGTTATGTATAATATTTTAAAAAATCATCTAATCAATGCTGAATGTGTTTATATCTGCAGAAACCTGAGAAAATGTTTCTGTAGTGAGCAAACATTTTCTTACTTAGGACTATGCCAACTAAACTTCCCAGATTTCTGAGTTTTCAAGTTTAATGTAACATAAGGAGAGCTAAGCAATATCTGATTCTGCTGAATTTTCACTGTTCACTCCAAAGATATTTTGGATACATGATTCTGTTGTATAAGATTTTTTAGTCCACTTATAAAAAAAATGCAATACACTCATTTTTATACATGTGTGTGTGCAATATTCTTCTTGTGGTGTTGAAGAAATTCTACAACAGAAATATTGTATTAAAGAACTCTTAAATTTTGGTTGGCTCATTAAATAAAGTAAGATATATTTATCAACACACACACACACACACACACAAAAAAAAATAATATTACAGTTTCCTAAAATTAACAGTAAAACTTCATTTTCAAAGTTATCTTTATTAATGGTATTGAAATAAAAAAAAACCCTGATATATTTTAATATTTTATCAGAAATCCTTTAATCACAAGAAGTTCTAAAAATCATCTAAAACTTAAAATCAATGTTCTACGCCATCTAGAAATTCAAAATAAATATTCTGCAAAGTATCTTTTAAAGATTTAAAAAAAAGATTCTTATTTAGATATTTTTATATCATGTGAAGGTAATATAACTTGTGTTGGCACAAAAATTGAATCATTGAGCCAAGTTCAAAATCTCATCTATTGTTTTACATTCACTTTCACACAAATGCCCCTTAAAAAGGCATGAATCCATCTCTTCACCTCCTAGCTATGAGTTAAAAAACATGTAAACTGGGCTCTTGAGCCTTGCATAAAAGCCAGTCTAGGAGAAGAACTGCTCTGAATTCAAAACCATGAAGAAAGCAGAGGGAAATCACTTCATTATCTTTCCCAAAAAATCAGAAGATCACAGATAATAAAGAAAAAGGAAGCTGTGAAGAATCATCATGAAGGGACATAGCATTTAAAATGAAAAATAACTTCTTTTTTCTTTTTTTCTTTTCTTTTTTTTAGCTTTCATTTTAAAAAATATTTTTATTTACCCTATTAATTTATTTTTGAAATTATACTTCATAAATGAATTCAGTAAAAGAAGAAATTTGAAAAAATATTTCAGGAATTATTCAAGCAACTATCCTCACATGTAATGTTTGAAATGTAAAACTGTTTTTCCTATTTTATTTTCAGCTACTTTTGAGGTTTCTCAAAAAAGTTGTTGACTACAAGAATGAAAACAAAATGAGTTTGTCCAATGTGGCTATGATAATGGCCCCCAATCTTTTCCTTCCTTCTTCATCAAAAAAATTAAAAAATTTTAAAGATTGGGAACTTTCTATTGCTGTGCCTGCCAACATTGTGAAACTGATGGTGAAATACATAGACATTCTGTGGACGGTAGGTTAATTTTTTTTTTTTTTTAAGTTATGGAAATACTGAAATAAAAAAATAATCATTTGAACAAAGAATTTTTACAAATAATAAACCTCATTTCTCATCACTAATTTGTTTCAATTCATTCATTTTCATTGTTGTAGCACTACTTAGACTAAAAGCAGTGGCAACAATATTTAAATGATGGGTGTAAGGAAATGGAAGACAATTTCAACAACATGATAGAAAAGAGAAATGAGAAAGAAAGACAGGAAGTGTCCTGTTTTTTATAGCTGCTTGACAAACCACTCTAATGACTTCTTGGCAAAACTATGTCAGGTTATCACATGAATTTGTATATGGGAAGTAGTAAAATTTGCTCAGTTATTATTAATTCATAGTGTAGTCAATACCCTATGTTTTTTTTGTAGTCAATACCCTATGTTTTTAGTGTAATTTGAGGTACTGTCTTGGAGTTGGACTCTCAAGAAACCAAACATTTTAAATGGTCATTAGCCACAACTAGACTAGATGCACCCCTCCAATCTGGATTTTGTGTCTAAGGTAGTTGCACATTCCTTACTAACATCAGTGGTCAGTGATTTAGCCCAGGTAAAAATCCAAGATTTTCAATATTGATTTACCAAGAAAACTCAGCCTGCTTCACTTGGAAGATTTGGAGAACATTTTTTCTCTCCTCCTATTTCCTCATTTTAGGCCTCATGCTTTGCTAAGTAAACATCAATGTATTGGTAAAAATGCTGTGCTAGAATTTTCTCAAGCATTTTATTAAAAGATTTTTCGCAATGCACCCAGTGCAATATTTTTGGAAAATCTTTTGATAAATATTCTAAATGACTCAATAATATCTGATAATATAAGATATATATAGATATAAGAACATGATTCTCATTAATATTAATGAGATGAAAAATCTTTTCTTAATTTGTAAACCACATTATTATTTTTATGATGTTCTCATACATAATTTTATGGAATTCTTAGGTACCACCATCAATGATCCAACAAATGAGAAGACGTTATGAATTAGAAATGACAAGAAAATCCAGAGTGAGTACCTTTGATTTAAATTTATTTTAAATTGAGTTTTTTTTTTTATTTGCAGTTGTGCATGTGCTTTTTCTATAAAACAGAAATATAAAAAATTTGTCTTTTTAAATGTCATTCATGTGCGTGTGTGAGTGGTAAAGAGTTGATAATGACAAATTAAACATGATTGATGATTAATTATTGTTTTTCTGCATGAGTTTCAGAAGTTCTATTAACCCATTAATGCCCACTGTAAAATCTGCTATTATAAAAATCATAATAAAATTCTGGTGTTATTGTTTTCTTCCTAAAACCCTTTAAGCCCACTGTCCCATTTGGCTGTAGTATTGTATTTAAATGCGGTACTGCTATAAAAGCAGTACACCACAGCAAATGCCAGTCAAGCTACCATCTGTTGACCTGATAACATCTATTCCAGAGAGTACTCTGCTTCATAACAATATGGTGTCACCAATAGGATCCCTAACCACATTGGATGAACTGGAGCATATACAAACGTGGATTAGATGTTTAGCAGTGTTGGCCAGGGTAAAGAAACTGAAAAACAAGAAAACCTCCAGAGGAGAGAATGAAATTACTTATTTATTTTTGGCTTTGGCAGGTTGTGAAGTCATAAAGAAAATATCCATTATGTTGTACCCCCAAAATACTGGAAGTCTTAATATATGAAGAAATTTCAACCATTATAAAAAGAAACATGCAACCAAAAAAATAGATTATTGCAGAAAGAACAAAATTTCTGGAAAATAGACAGAACCCAAATTAAACCATAATGCAATATTTACACAGATTAAAAAAAGCAACAAGATATTGAGACTGAAAAACTGGGTTTGAGAGTAATGTCTATAGAAGACAAATTGATTCTTCTAAGACTAATTGAAGGCATGTATGACATTACATATAAACATAAGATCCTAGAATGGTGACAAGTGAATGATATGAATTTAGAAGCAAGTATAGAATTCTTGCCGCAATTAGAATTAATTAATGAATTTAATAATTCTAAAAACAATATGTAAGCATAGAACAACTAAAATCCTAATTAAGTGCAAATATTGCAACAAAGAACATGAAAAATACAAAACAATGTCCAGCCCTAGGAAAACAGTTTAAACTGTAAAAGAAAAGACCATTTCCAATGTGTGTGCAGATACAAAAAGAGAATAGAAAGGGTAGAAAGTATTAACCCTCATACTGAAAATACAGAAGTATATTCAATAAGAATACCTTAAAAAAAATAGAGAGACAGTAAAATTGAATGGCATAACTTTTCCCATGCAAGATGACAACATGAGCGATGTTAACTTGATCCCAAGGAATTTCTGGGGAAAAATGGATAAACCCAAATTAAGAAAAAGTAATCTTAATTTAAAACAATTTGATGAATCAAAACTCTAGGCTCCTTTGAAGGAACTTTCAAGGCAAAAAACCGTTTTGAGATTATTCCTATCACTGTTTTAGAATGCAAAAAAATCATGGGCTCCTGGGAATAGACATTTTAAAAGTGGATATAGTGAAATTAATAAACTGTATAAAGTCAGAAGAAGCTGACATAGGACTATTGAAAGGATATAGAGCGAGTATTTGTGTAAAAGAAAATAGTCACCCGATCTATTTTGAATCTCAAAAAATACCTATTCACATTCTACCCATAGTAGTTGCAAAACTAAAGAAAATTGTCGAACAAGGCATATTGGAAAAAGTTACCCAAGGTGGTAGCAGTTGGACTTCACCAATTGTTTTGATATAAAAGCCCAATAGTGATTTAAGGATATGTAGGGATTACAAAGTAGGTGTGAATCATCAGATATGCTCTGATTCATTTCCCTTACCTAACATAGAAATGGCAAGTCATGATTTGCAGGAATTAAATACTTTGCCAAGACTGACCTGAAATTAGCATAAAATCAAATAGAAATCGATGAAAAATTTAAAGAAGTCACTACAATATGCTGATAGGTTTATGAAGATGGACTCATCCTCCATTTGGAGTTAAGACTTCAAGCCATATTTTTCAAAAGGCAATTGAAAAGTGTCTATCAGAGGTGGGAAAAATATAATCATATATCAAGATGATAAAGGCATAACATGCAATGGAGATATTATAATATGCCCCACACATACACAAAGTTTAAGGAAAGAAGTACTAAAAGGTGTACACGATGATATACATTGTGGTATAACAGTAACACAAATGAGATTAAAATAACAAGCATGATGACCAGGATATTCTTGAGATCTAGAAGTCTATATAAAAAAAGTGCCCAAAATGTGCTGAAATAAAAAAACTTTCAACAAAACAAAATTCACTCAAGGCCTAAAGAAAAAGAACCATGGACTCAGGTACACATTGATCATGCCCATATTAAAGGCACAGGGCTATTTTTAATTTTAGTTGACTCATTTTCAGGATGGCCTGAAGTAATTAAGGTTACTGACAGAAAAACCACCACCGTAAAACAAATATTAAGAACAATATTTTCAAGGAATGTGGTGCCTAAAACTTTGGTCTCAGATAATGCGCCAGAATTTTGCAAGGAAAGTTTGTGCTTGTGATTAAAGTGTATTGGATGCAATGCATATAAAACACCACCTTACCATCTACAATTGAATGGAATCGCAGAAAGAATGGTGCAGACTGTGAAAATGGGACTAAAAGCATTTTCCCTATATAATGATAATATAGAGAGTTACCAAGATTACTGTTAAGCTATAGGACAATTCCACATGCCAGAAAACTTGCTAGACAGATTAGAACTCTCATAACAATGTCATTTTCAACAAGTAAAAGTGTATCGTATAAAAAAGACAAAGAATCTAATCTCGAGAAGGCAAACTTTGTAATACAGAAAGGACACAATACAACAATACTAACAAAAAATGGACAAACTGTACTAGCCCATGAGGATCATTTCAGAAGCAGAATGGAACCCAAGGATATAGAAATGGATGAAGATTCTGAAGGTGAAGAACATAAAGTGGGGGAGGATACTAAGGAATCCTATTATTAAACTGAACAATCTATGGATGTTAATGACCAGAAATCTGACAAGGAGTCAAAAGAGGAAAATGAACCATTTGCCCATTTTTCAATGAAATTAGATTGTGTATGTAATATTATTTTGGATCTAAAGAAAGAAACAAATCCTAAACAAATAGAAAAAAGACAACAGATGGATAAAGATGAGCTAAGCATCAGATCTTAAAGATTATCTCATATTTTTAGCTGAAATCACTCTAATTTAGTTTACTAATTGACAAATTAAACAGTGTACATTGTAGAACTAATAGTTCATTTTGAAGAGAATATATGAAAGTTTAAAATTCAAAAGATTTGAATTTTGAGTGTGAAGAAAATGGCTGGTATTGTAATATATTTCTCATTGATTTTGGGTGCCATGTTATTACAGTTACCTCAACCTGAAATAGAGCTACTAACTTAGCAATTAGTGGTAGTAATGCTTCAGGTCAAAAAGACATGCTTCATCCCAATGTTATCATCTGATAAAAATATAAATGCATTTCAGTAGTATGTTTGCTTCAAAGTTTATTTTTTTTTACAATTAAAGGAGGCTGAAAATTTGTTGGCATAACACACTTCCGAAAATCTTGACAAATGATAAAATATCTTTATTTGCTTTTTGGTTGGGCCAAGACTTTTCAGCACTTCCTTGTATTACCAAATTAATATGTACTTCATTATCATTCATACAAACATTTTCACTCTGGATATCATATAATCTGTCTTAAATAACTTCTTTTTTTTACATTTTTCAGTTGTAAATAATCTCATTGTAGTTCAGATTAAGAATTACCTTTTTCATAAGATTTAATCAATTCTATGGAAATGTAAGCAAAATATAATACAAAAGAAATTCATCTTATTAATTAACTCAAAGTAAATATCAGAAAAAATTATTTTGAGACTATTTTAATAATATTAATAACAATAATTTTAACTAAATTTGATGTATTATATCTCAGACATTGCTAATCAAGATTTTATTCAATCTTTTATTTTTATATTTTTAATTTTGCCTGTCTATTATTAAAATTATTTACAACATTCAAAATGTTTTCATGAAAACGCATTAGTCTATGTTCTTTCTTACAGAGATTAAAGATTCTTGGTAGGAAAGATCGACAAGATCTACTTAAGAAATCTGTCAATTCTTATGAGGTATTTGAAGGCATTTTCTTTTCTTTTTTTGTCTATGCATTATATATTATATAATGTAGATTTTTGTCTAATGCAGTCTGTATCTTGGCAAACAAATAAAACAAGCTTTCTTGTTGGTCAAAATGTTTTTGTCAGTCAGGCAGTTCTAATAGACTGTGATACATGATATAAAGTTTGGTAGAGGAGGTTTGCTCACCTGATATATAATAAATAACTCAAAAAGAAAAATTACTTGAAATGAAATTGTTCATGCATATAGCTGATATGAAGTCAGTGTCAAAGAGAGATGTAAAATGGAATCACTGTTGAAGATTTTGGTTTAATTTTTTTTTCCATTAAAACCACTGCAGCAGAAGACAGTTTTCTTTCAATTCCCTTGATACTATGTGTTCTTTGGAGCAATAATGAAGTGGTTGGAATTCAATTTTCCTTTTGTTAGGCTTTTTGCCACCCAAATCTATAGCTGGGTTGGATGAATAGATTCATGCTTTTCCCAAGGGCATTTGTGCAAAAGTGAATACAACAAACAAGGCCAGAATTTGAACTTAGTTTGCTGTTTCCATTTTCCTTGCTAATATCCATTACACAATCTGCACACCCCTTTCCTGATTTGACCATTTCAATTCAGTTAAAAATTTCTCTCTTAAGAAACATTAATTGAGCTGGCTCATTCTTTGTTATTTTCATCTGATTGTATTCTTGCATGAATAAAACTGATAAAAAGCTTCCTTTATTCCAATGTCAACAAGCAGATAGAAAATCCACAGCAAGGCACCAACTCTAATATTGCAACTCTTCCTGAAGACAAGATCAATAAGTTGCAACAGCACCATGCGACATTATTTATAATCTTTAGTAAGTTTAACTTAGTACTGCACAATACTAAACCGGTGTAAGAAGATCGTACTTTACCACTCTTTTTATACATGAGTCAGTTTGACAAAAATTCTTGCTTTTCTTTTGTAAATTAATTTATATGTTGTAAGATTATACAAGAAACTAAAATTTAATTTAGCAAAAAATATCAAGTTTAAATAATAAGCATCATAATCATAATAAAATATCAATGGTCTTGAATGTTTTAAGCTTGCTGTATTGAAAAGAATTTTTTTTATCAATCGAGACAAGGCAATAATGCCACTAAGACACAAGGGGCTACTGGACATGAAAAAGAAAAAGACTTTAGAAGGAACCGGAAACCCAATCCTAAACAGGAAACAAGAGATAAACCTCTACTCCTGAAGTTAGTGGAGCAGTCCATTTATTTAAAAAATAAAAAAATTGATAAAAATGTATGGACAGAAAGTGAGGCATCAGTTCTGTATTTTTATTAAGTAATAATCTGATCCCTCAATTAATTACATAGTATTTATATAATAAATAGAAAAATATATTAATGATTTACATATGAAAACATTCTAATAATAGTTAAGTACAAATTTTTTTTTTTTAATCAATTCACTCCAAGCAAAGTGATAATGCCACTAAGACACAAGGGGCTACTGGAAGTGAAATAGAATGAGAAGATTTTAGAAGGAAACAAAAATTCAATCCTAAACATCAAACAAGAGATAAACCTCTTGTTAATGTTATAGTTCATTGAGAATCAACACCTCTAGTCTTGTTTAAAAGACTGGGAGGAGTGTGAACCAAACAATAGGTAAACCTTTCTACTCCTATGGGTGAACCTATCATAGTCTAATTTTGACTTCTTCAGTAAATGACTTGTTATTTTAAGTATCTATAATAAGTTATGATGCATTTATCTGCTTTTGTCTGTAGCCACATGACAGCCAGGAAAATGTGATCCATGTGCAAGCACCCCACTTGAGTAAAGCTGCTATGAAAATCCATCTGGTAAATAAAATGACTGTAGCTGACATTTTGGCTCGCTTCCAAGGAGTGGAATATTGTTCAGCTGAAAATGGAAGGTACTTTTAGCTTCATTTCGTTTTTAATTTATTTTTATTTATCTTTGTTACCAAGTCTTTTTGGTTTCTTCTTGAATTTTTTCCTATCTTTTTTCTTTTACTTTTTATTTGTTTTTTCATTATTTATTTAAACATTTGCTGAAAACTTAGTCAAGTTAATTAATTGTCCCAATTTTTATCCTTGTCATATGAGGATATAAACTTCAACATGATGTAATGGTTAGCTAGCTTGTTTCGCTAGATCAGTTACAACAGAGTAGTGAATTTGATACTCACTAGGTACTCCATACTTATGGCCTTGTGCCACATCTAAACTATACTTAGTAAATTGCTATAAACTGTGAACTTTTAAAGTGTTTTATCATTTACAGCAGCTCAAGAGAAAAGCCAATTCTAATTCATTGTAACTCAATTAGTTTTATACTTAGATTCCATATAGCTACCTTCCAAACTAAGAGTTTGCTAAAAATTATTTTAAAAGGAACAAATGTAATCGGGTGAGTTATTGTTGTAGCTACATATTCAAATCATATCAGAAGGTTACCACTTGCAATGACATTTGTAAATAATTAACATTTTCAAAATAAATGAATTTAACACATACGTATATATATGTGTATGTATGTATGTATGTATGTATGTATATATATATATATATATATATATATATAGGACTAGGTTTAAGATAGCTCAGAAAAGGAGAAAAAACAATTTTTTAACAAACTAATGACCTTCTACTGCAAGTGAGAAAGTGACTGACAATGTTTCTTTGAGAAAGTTTTAATTAATAACATTAGGGTATCAGATTTTTTTCTGGGCATCCTCAATTTGTAGCGATGTTGTCTCATTTGTTGAACAGTTGGATATTTTTATATGTTGGATGGAAATCTTTATATTTGTCATAAGTTGTTGTGGAAATATTATTGTGGGTTTTCCTTCATTTAAATGGTGTAAAATAAACTGCTATTCCCTGAATGGCATAAAATCAATAAGACCAAGGTATATACATTTATTACAATTAAACATTATTACAATGGGTAATGGTGGACTATGCAACAAATAAATGCTGAAAACACACTATAATGGGAGAGAGCTATGTAAGAAAGATTTATTCTCCCTTTTGTATTTCCCCCATTATGGGCATTATTATATCCTTGATATAACAAAAGGAAATGGCACCATGTACTTGTAAACTGCTTGGGGAGGCAGATTTAGCCTTAGCTTGGGCCCCTTGGCCCAGGCTAAAAAAAAAAAACAACCAATTGGTTTGGCTGCTGTAAACAAACTGAATGACTGGTCACTCTTGTCACTGTATAAAATGATGTCACTAAGCAGTCCATCACATGACCCAAGCGACTTATCTCTACCAAAGGGAGATAATTGCCTTCTGTTTCCCTATAATTTGATAACTATCTGTTGCATCTTGATAGGCATTTAACCCAAATGGCCAGTTGCACTGGTTGCAATGTCGGCTGTTTCAAATGAATCATCATTGTGCTAACCAGTGTGACACAGTTGTAAGCTCCTTAAGATGATTGCCAAGCACCAATCTTGCAAAATATCTTATAATAATTCTTTCGGATCAATGATTGACTGGAGGGAACTTGGTCTACCATATGATATGGCCAAAATGAAATGGCACAGTTTATTTTATGACATTTAAAGGAAGTAGAAATTTGACAGATTATTTTGCACAATTTATATGAAGGATTACCATTGTGATCACATGAGGCTTTTTTGAATAAGCATTAGTGTAGTGTGTTGTATATAATAAGAGATTTCCTACAACACACACCTTGTCACTATAAGATCCTGTAGATGAAGAAAGAAAGAAGAGTTTTTACCTTTTACTTTTATACTGCTTTATACAACACCATTATAGCAAGTGTTGGGGGCGAGGTGGGGATAATTGGACACAAAGAATGCTGAATTACACAGTAAATATATAAGCATTATTTTGTATGAATTAGTAAACATTTGTTAGGCTAGCCCAACTTTGGCACAAGGACAAACTTATGAAGCATTTGGTGATGGTTAAATGCACTAATAATGGCCTGCAAACTTATTTTGTTCACCACTGCACTACAGCTGATACCTTCTTACAAAAAATATCAAGTCTTATGAAAAATATTGTGCCATATTTTTTTTCAAAAGGTCATTATATGAATAGAGACAATGTACAATTAAATTACTAGTATTTACTTTATTTACATTGTTCTCATTTATGTTGTGACTATCACAATGTTTTGGTCATTGTGCATTTCAGGTGTCTGTTGATCTGAGTAGCCTTCAGGGAATTTTAAAATAAACCTTTTATTTAATCTATAGAGATTGTTCTTTCTCTATGGATATCTCGTCTTGTCCTTTTTTTTTTAAGTACTGCTCAGTTATTGCTCATCCTGCTTCCAGTGAGTCTGTGTACTCTCCAGCCCAAGGATTGAACTCACAATTACTAAGCCACCAAATTCATGAACCAGTCCTTTAATTCACCAGTTCCACAGATTCAATAAAAGATTCAGTTTAAAATTTCCTGAAGATTACCCAGATTGACAGTCACCTGAAGAAAGATGGAACAATGGTTGAAACATTGTCATAGTAACAACAAAGATGAGGACATTAGTCCAAATGTAAATAACTCCTCATCCTAGAAATTCAGATATAAATTAGTAGTATAATTGTCAAATTTGATTATTTGTATTAAAGAATTTAAAACTTTTTACAACCATGTTCTATTTATTTTCCAAAATTTTGATGCCATTTGATTTAAAATTTTAGCCAAAGAAATAACTGATGCATGTAAGTGTTTCTTTTCTATTTATTTCTTTTTTTCAGTGATCAGAATCTAAAGGGCTTATCTAATCGATCTCCTAATCACATTTATTTGTATGAAGTTGGAGGAAATATTGGTATGTGATAATAAATATTCTGTTTCACCTTGCAATTATAAAGTTAGGCTTCAAATATTTAAATTATCTTATTAAATTGCTTTTCCTTTTTCTTTTTTTTTTACATTCTACTTTTGAATTTGATTCATAATTCAAGTTATTTTTCCTATAAAATGTTTGTCAACAAATCTTCATGCTCTGAATTTCCAAATTTTTAATAATTCAGAATTATTCTTGCTTTTAAGAATTACCTTTGTATATTTTTAAAAATGATTTCATTCATTTTTTTTATTTGCTATTAGATAAATTTTTAGGCCAATAATTTTCCATTGAGTTAAGATACACTTTTCAAGATATCCAGCTAATATATTAGCTTAAATGGTAAAGAAAAGTAGACAATATTTGCCTTGTTTCAGGGCTTTTATTTATTTGTATAATTTAATAATTTTTTTGAATTTTATGATACACAAGAAATTTAGTAATTTGACAAGAACTGTGCCAAAAATGTGCAAAATACTTTTCCTTGGCATTTTATTTAACAATTTATTAAAATAATATATACAAGTTTTAATTTTCATTTTGAAACCTTTCCCATATTAGTATGTTTATACATAGAACATTGAACTGGTAATGATTCAAAATTGTATATTTTTTTATTCTAAAAATTTATTTATTAGTTCTATATTATTTAATAGATGGTGTGTATTTTGACAAGAGTTATTAATAAGCTTGACATTGCATTTAAATTTCATTACTTTCACTGATCATATTCTCTATTTTAGGAGAGAGGCGCCTCGATCCTAATGCCATGATGTCCACTATACACCAGATCAATCCACATGCAGAATGGATTGTTAAAACGATGAACTAGCTTCCCTACCTTTTTAATTTTTTTTAAATGAACAAACATTTATAAAGAGGAATTAGGAGAAATAGATGACAAGAATGTCCAGATACAGTGTTCTCCAAACTGAAAAACTTTGGGTAAGAGGGAGAAAACTTATTGTAAATAAGAAAAAATTGGGGGGTATTTATCCTTCAATTGAAAAATTTGAAGTAAAACTTTATTTGCTGCAATGCTTATCAAAGGTATGAAGTGTCTGGAAAACATTGAGTAGCATTGCATCATGAGATTTACTGAATATTCTACTGTTACCATTTCACTTTGTTCAACTGAAACTTTGGGAAGCTATATATCCTTTTTGTATGCTTCTTGACATTTTAAGAATCAATGGATTCAACAGATCATGTAATAAGCAGATCCAATCAAATTTTTATATTCATCAACACATCAGCCTTAACTGGGGAAAAAACAAACATTGTCACATCATTATTTTTATAATACAATTCTTTTTTTAACAGTTTCTCCTGTCAACAACCAACTCTGTTCTTTCTCTAAATATTTTTTATTAAAAATGAAAATTTATCTTCAAGGTATTGTCTGCTGTAATGGTTAGAATTTTTTGTTTTTGAGTACTTGTTTTTAAAAATTCAACCTTTTTTTTTTTATTTTTTATTTTATTTTATTTTTTCAGTTTAAATTTATAAAAAACATTTTTTCATAAAAATTTACATAATTCACTGGTTTAACAGTGAGACCATATTAACTGACACCCATAAAAATTTTATATCTACCATGAAGGGCACAGATATCGGTATTCTTCCTGGTCTAACTTCAGGTGGATGATGTTTTGATGTGTGTCTTTGTCTACTTTGGCATAAACTGCAATCAACTTTGACAAGTTGCAATGTACTCTCAAACAGTTATATTTTTATCATATGCTAACATTCCAGTAATAGGCAAAGCTTAAGGATTTGTTTATAAATCTTTAATTTGAAAACTTTTCTAGGAAGAAACACAAAAGATTTATTTATAAATCTTTTAATTTGGAAGCCCATGTTTTCTAGGAAGTGACATAAAAATTAATTTTATGAAACAAAAATTTAGGGATTCATTTTTTTTTGAAAGTTAATAATTTTTTTCTTTACTTTCTTCTTTAATTAACTGAATGTTAAGATAATCCCCCAATTTTATAATAACAAAAATGTTAATTTTAGAAAGTGTCCAATTCCATAGGTGTTAACAATGAACATGTTAGACATGTTTCTATTGGTATATAACATACATGCCATTTAAGAAAATACATATTTTGCCTCTGAGTATGAAAAGCTACAAAATGATTATGAATATGTTTATAAATAATTAATTTCAGAAATATTTTTAAAGTGTATAAAGAAAGCTTTTTACTTTACATAGTATCGGTCATTTTTGTTAGTCCCCTGATTGGTTTATGCTGTGAGCAACTACTACCTGAATTATAACATTTTGGGATCAAAAATAACTTAGAATGTTTTTAATAAATTTTGATTTCTTATTTCATAACACATTTAAACTTTGACATTTGTATCACCATAGTTTCTAAGATCTCATTCCAATAGAAATATGCAAAGGCTCAATCAAAACATTATCCACTGGATTAAAAGCGGGACATGTATGAATAGATGAAAGCTTTGTCTGATTGTGATGGACTTCACTGTAAAGACTTTGAGTAAAATAAAGTTAATTTTCTAAATTACAAAGATCCTATTGTCCAAACATCATATTCATGCAGGATTGAAACAAAGGAAATTTTCATGTTTCTTTTTTGTTTCTAATATTATTTTTATAGAAACAAAGCAACAATCTGACTTATTGTTTAAATTGGATTATCTGATTAGAGAGAGAGGATGGAGTTTTCATGCCACATCAGTATTTTTATGTAGAAGTATGAATTATAAATTTGTGTGTGAAATAGATTACACAGATTTATTTTACATCTAATTAAAACAAAGGAAATGAAGTTCCGTGCTCGGAATTATTTACACAACTTGACATCACTATTTATACAAGGTGAACTATTTGAGGAAGGTTTTAAGTTTAAGCCATACATTTCAAGATTAACATTGCACAAAAATAAAAAAAAATGAGAATTGTCTTTTTATTTCCACCGTCTTTTTTTTTTTCCTTTGTTTCATATTTCAGCTGTTTTTCTTTCAGTCATACTCAGTTGATATAGCACAAAAACATAGTTGAAAATTTGTAACAGTATGAAAGGATATTTTCTTTTTTAAGTTGTGTTTTTCTGGTATCATTTGTTTTTGTTTTTTTTTTTCTTTTTCCAAAATTTGCAGAATTGCATGGTATATGCTGAATTGATGTTTGTGAGAAAGATAAGATCAATATTCAACAAATTGTTGCCTTGTCCAAAAAAGAAAATGCATAGCAAAGAGAATTTCTATGCAAAGAAGTATACGCCTGGTGACAAAGTTTTCTTCAGGAACTACCGAGGTGGAAAATGTTTTGGGAGGATGAAATTATTTCAAATAGAATTGGAAGAGTAATCTATACAGTGAAAGGGAAAAGATGTGTATGCAAAAAGCATATAAACCGGTTAAGACCAAGATACTCTGAAATCATTCAACAGGATGATGAAGAAACTCTGATGGATGTACTGTACGACACGTTTGAAATAACACCACCCACTAACATACCAGAACGCATTGATACATCTCCTACACCATCTTTGCCCGTAAAATCAAGATGTTATTCACCTCGAAAGAGTACAAAGAAAAGAAAACCCACAGTGTGGTTAAGTCCAGAACCGAAAAGAAAAAAGTATTAGAAAGCTAAATTTTCTAGAGGAAAATTTCAGATCAGGGGGAGGTGATGTAATGGAATAACCTGTCACCACCATTAGTGACTACACTATAGGTAGTAACTACCTATAGGTAGCTGTAAGTCAATGGGCTACAGGGACTAGCTGGGATCTGTTGAGTATGACTCAGACTTACATGAGAACTACTGACCTTCCAATAGTAGCACTCAATACTGGATTGACTTGCGATGACCTTGTGCATAACTGTTACCTTCCTTCTTATTGTACTGGTTTTTTACAATAAACCTTTACTTATTTTATTCACCATGTTTTTCAAGTATATATTCCTATTAGCACGGAATATAACAGTATATGTGTCTACAATAACAAAGAGTAGAAGACAGAGATCCAAACAGAAAATGTATTAATTTATCTCTATGATAATAGCTAAAATTCATATCTGGTAGTGCACAAAAAGAAATATAATATTAACTCTTAGTAACCGAGTTGGTTATTTTTGATGGTTCTATACCAAATAGTTTTACTTGCTTTTATTTTTATGGTTTTCCTGCTTTATTTCAAACTTTTATAGTATGGCCCCTGAATTAAAAAAAAATATCCATAAAATATCAGTTAGAAATCATTCACCAAATTGTAATTATTTCTCTGATGTATGTCCAAACAAAAATATATAAATGTACCTCTATTAAAACCACAAATAGTGGTACTACTAATGTGAAAGTAGTGTAACTGTCAATGATGTAGAAAGGAGAATATGTGAGCCAAGTTCAAATTCTGTCCTAATCTGTTGATTTCACACATTATTTCATTTCTTCTTTTCACCACCTCCAAAGTAAGGTAGATAGGGCTCTCTAAGCCTCAGGTGAGAGCCAGTCTAAGAATCTCTGAATTCCCAAACCATAGAAAACTACTCCATTTTCTGGCAATTCACAGATAATAAAGAGAAATCTGTTGAGAGCTATGATCATCTATGTCCTGAAGAGACATAGCATTAAAAGAAAGAAAAAAATGATATAAAATCTCCTAGGTTACCAAATCTTGTCCCAGTCTATTTTATATGCATGGTCCTCTTTTCTTTCTTAGCTGAATACCCTTTAAAAATTAATCTCATGCATTCAGTAACAAAACACATGATGAAGATGGATAGAAGTGAATTCAAATACATCACATGAATGATAATTATGGTAATCTGAAAAGTACAAATTTTTCTAGCTTTTATTTTCAATGACAATAGAAAATAAAAAATATTGAGACCAATGATAATACAACTTATTATTCAACAGTCATTGTGTTTTCACATCAATAGCAACTGAGAGTTTGCACTGAAGATCACATATTTTCTCCAGCATCAATTCTCTAGCTTTTTTCATTAGTGTTGTTTTCTGAATGTTCACAATCCTTTCTTTGATTTCCAGTTCCTTCAATTTTTTTGCAATCATTCCTGGTTCACTAACAACAATTGACACAATTGTCATCTTCATGTTCTATAATTTTCTTTGGTTCTTTAACAAGGCCTAGATATTTATCGAGACTTTCACTTTCCTTCAATTTTACTCTATGGTCATTTGAAACAAAATAATTCACTGTCCCACACACTTTCTCTTTGTTAACAATAATTAACTCCAGTTTTCTGGTTTGTATTGTTATTTATACTATCATGATTTGAAATTTTATGGGAAAAGAGGGGTTATAAAATTTATAATTTACATGACATATTGAGAGGAACAGAAGGAAACAGTGAGTAATCTACTTAACAAGATTGTTTAAATGGATGGGAAAACAGAGAATGGGAAGGAAAGTAAAAAATACAAACAAGAAAGACTTTACAAGTGCAATCAATCCTAACTTAATTTTACCTTAATTACTGGCTTAATGTTACCCCCTCCTACCTTAACTTACAGAAGATAACTGAAATTTCTTCACTTCTGGGATTGTACTGGCCAGGCTCAGCTAAAATTAGCTGATGCTATAAAAAAGAAAAGACATGGTGTAATGGATTCTTGTTGACAAAGAATAACAGGAATTATAGTTTTCTGTGTTGCACTTGCATTTTTATTCAAGAAAATACATCTCTCCATGAATCCTCAATCAGAGACTTTATTGAAACTCTAGATTTTGAAACAAACACCAACAAATCCACAATTTGTTCCACTGAGAATGCAACAATATTTGTTTTAGTGTTGTGCTAGGACAACATTTCATGTTTCTTTGTCAA